TCTTTCAAGAAGGGCAAAAGACACTTTTAATATACCCATCGCTCGGCCGTGCACAGTGTTTTCACCTCGAACGTCAGAACGCAAATGAGTGAATTTTTTATTTTACTCATGATGCATTGCGGTCGCAGTGCGCACACCGCCTGGCTTGACACATTTGCTTTTAATTATTTATCGATTTGTTAGTACTTCATGTTAGTACACAATATAGTGGCACTATGGAAGAATCTGTCATTTATGGATATGAAGGGTTATATCTGTGGTTATATTTAGATCCCATGTTATCCTACGTCTACGTTCTTCTCCCGTTTGTTCGTTCCTTTTACGATTTTTACGATTTGTTTGTGAGAATAATCCAAGCAATCGTGTGCGTTTTTATGGCTGAAAGAAATTAGAAAGGTATTGAGCATATAAAATGTGTATTGGATTATATACTTATATGATTATTTTTACTCTTTTGGTTAGTTTTTGGGGTTAATTTCAGCTATCTTTGAGGTGCACTTTTGCATAATTTATTTCTGACTAATAATATACTTTCCTGTGTTCATTTAATACTGTAAGAAGTAGGACAGTAGATGGCAGCTATTTCATAAACATTACAAACAAATAAACTATATTTCTTGATCCTATTTGTTTGAGGCTAAACAGAAGACCACTACATATATTCGAAGTTGTAAACTGTTATTATGTAAAACTGTTGTTTGAGCACCTTTTGCTGCAAGATAGAGTTGCCGTGAACGTAATTTTTTTGCGTTTTCTATACAGATTTTAAACTGATACAAAATGCATCTTTATTCGTTGACACTGCAAAGAGCTTCGGCCATAACTCATGCCATTCATGGAAATTTCTCTGGCACAAAGTCACAAGAGCTGGTCGTTGCCAGAGGTGGCCTGATCGAGCTACTTCGACCAGATCCCAACACAGGGAAAGTGATACCAGTCCTGGCTGTCGAGGTTTTTGGCGTTGTGAGAGATATTGCGCCATTTCGATTAACTGGTGGAAGTAAAGGTAAATAATTGGGTATTAATTATTAGCCGAACGTGGTGTAACATGCCCAGAGATTCTATTTTTGTGGAGGTGGCCAATCTTTGAAAGCAAGTTAAGACCCATTTAAAGGACATGACTAGTTGTATATGATTCTTATCCTGGCACATGTACTCGAATAAATGCATGAAAAGATGTCTCGTTTCAAATTTCACCATAAACTAATGAGTGATGAACAGATATAGTGGCGTCGCCAGTCCTTCTCATATGCCAGAATGAGAATTGTATATGACTAGTCATATCATGCAAATGAGCCTTTAGACTACTTGTTCAGTTGCACTAGGGGTGCACCGGAACCAGTTTTCTAAGTTCCGGCCGGAACCGGATCTGACCGGAACTGGAAAAAAGTTCCGGCCGGAACCGAAACTAATTTATTAAGCCATATATAGTCATATGTTACTTTGTCCACTGCCAGACAGGCAGACACTTCAAGTCATAAAGGAGAGAGCTTGCAAATGTTAGAATAAAAAAGATTGACAAGCGTTAAACGTCATGAAGTGTTAGTAGTGTACATTTCCCTTGCATAGTCCAAATTTCTTCCTACTGTGACCTTTTGTTAGACACAAAAACGTTTGATATTCTATCTCTCTGAAAACAACAGAGTTCCGGTTCCGGCCATGCTTTTTTTACTAGTTCCGGCCGGAACCGGAACTCTGAAAAAACGGGGTTCCGGCCGGAACTAACCGGCCGGAACCGAGTTCCGGTGCACCCCTAAGTTGCACCAATCCTGAGATTTTTTACACTTCCCAATGCAATTGTCTTTGTAACTCGTATATTTAACTTATGTTGTTACTAGATTACATTGTAGTTGGATCGGACTCTGGTAGAATTGTTGTCTTGGAATACATCCCATTCAAAAATGTTTTTGAGAGGGTAATCTTCATTATATTTGCAATAAACATTAAATAAAATTAAACATTCATTCAAAAAATATAAAATCTATTGCAACAATCTAAATGGTATTTTTATTATCTAGGTTCACATGGAAACATTTGGAAAAAGTGGTTGTAGGAGAATTGTTCCAGGACAGTATCTCGCTGTTGACCCAAAAGGTCGTGCTATCATGGTTGGTAAGTGTTAGAATTATGAAGTCCTAAATCTAAACTCCTCTAATGGGTCCTAAACTTCTCTAATTGGTCAGGACTGTGTATTATCAATATCAATAATAACATTTTCTAATCAATTTTTAGGTGCAGTTGAGAAACAGAAGCTTGTGTACATCATGAATCGCGATGCTGCAGCAAGGTTGACCATATCATCACCTCTAGAGGCTCACAAGTCACACACGTTGGTCTTTGGTATTGTTGGAATTGATGTTGGTTTTGAAAATCCGATGTTTGCTTGTCTTGAGTTGGATTATGAGGTCAGTTTCAACACCATTGAAAATAGGGTTATTTTGTTGTATTACAGATCATAACTATGCATATTTATAATAATTATGCATGCATATATTATATAGTTCCCAGGTTTCTAGTGTTTCTGTCGTCCCAGCATTCTTGCCATTCATGTCGTTCCTAGCGTACTTGCCGTTCTTAGAGTTCCCCATTCTTAGTGTTCCTGGCATTCTTGACATTCTCAAGGTTCCCTCCATTCTAAGCATCCCTAGCGTTCTTGATGTTCATAGTGTTCCTGCCATTCCTAGCATTCTTGGTGTTTCTGCCGTTCTTAGCATCCTTGGCGTTCTTAGCATCCTTGGCGTTCTTTTTCTGTTCCTAAAGTTCCTGCCGTTCTTAGTGTCCCTGTCGTTCCTTGCATTCTTGCCGTTCCTTGCGTTCTTGCTGGTTCTTGCCGTTCCTTGCGTTGTTGCCGTTCCTTGCGTTGTTGCCGTTCCTTGCGTTGTTGCCGTTCCTTGCGTTCTTGCCGTTCCTTGCGTTGTTGCCGTTCCTTGCGTTCTTGCCGGTTCTTGCCGTTCCTTGCGTTCTTGTTGTTCCTTGCGTTCTTGCCGTTCCTTGCGTTCTTGCCGTTCCTTGTGTTCTTGCCGTTCCTTGCGTTCTTGC